GCAACCCGAAGAGCGATCATCTTAAGGCGAAATCAAGTCCGGCAACCTCCGGTGCCATATACCCAGGCGTCCCGCCCCAGCTGCAGTCCGTCTTTGTGCAGACCAGGCCCAAGTCGATCACCGCTGCGTAGCAACGTTTTGAGCCCCTCACAAGCTGACCTCACACCAAACGATGTTGATGGGAAAGAAGGAATTGAAGACCCAAACTCAATTGAGAAATTGAGAAGACGCGAATTGGCATCCTTTTGTTTGACCCTTGAAGTACGGTTTCAGCCATTGGACCGGGAAAAGGCCACGGATCATCCTTGACACGAAAACCTCAACATGGCTACAACACTGCCTCCATTTGGCTTCCCAGAACAAAAGGGGCACCCTCGGGTTAAAAACGGGCCCTATCCCACCCCACTTGCAAAACTGGGCCCCCTTCCAGTTCTTCGTGGCGCCTCGGGGATTGCAAAAGCCCTTCTCGGCTTGAAATCACCCATTGTCCCTTTTCTGAAAAGACTGGCGAAAGGGTGGCGCCACCCCAGAGTGGGGGCAAGTTGCAGTTCACCATGACATTGTCCAGCTTAAGGTCCATGTGAACCATGCCGTGGGAGTGCAAAGCCTGCACGCCCTTCATGGCTTGATACATCAGCGCCCAAATCCAAGCCTGGCTCGTACCAATCCTCGGATTTGGCCCACATTTGTCTTGGTTTCACGATGATCGAGCCACTACCCGAGGAAAGGAAACCTGGTATATGGGGGCTCTTAGAATCTGGATACATGATACGTTGCCTAGGGGAATGCTTTCAATCAGGGGCACCCCAAAATCTTGGTTGCTGTTGGCCCTGCAAAAAGTGTTTAACTTTGGGGGTTTAGTGGAAAACCCTTGATTTCAACCAAAAAGTTGAAGTCTAAAGATCCAACCGGTCAAGAAATTGTGGTTTCCTTTTGCCCTGAACCCCCCAACAGGACCCTCAAAAAGGCGCCAACCCCAAAGGCTTCGGTCATGTGCCAATAGACATCCAGCGAGTTCACATTTGCTTTTGGGCTCTCATTCAAGCGGAAAAGGCGCATTACGTCGAGAAGGCCGAACATAATTCCTGACCCTAACTTATAAACGGGCACCTGCATGATCCTGCATGGGGTCTGGTATCGCTTTTGATCTGTTTTGTATTTTCTCTCGAATGGTTTCCTTGTATTGGGGGGCAAACAACAGGGATACTGTGAAACAAAGAGCGGCAAAGAAACAAATCAAGATCCATTGCGCCTGAATTGGGTCACGGAATGCACATCAGCAAATTAAGCTACAGTGCTAGAAGCGCGCCCGGGGAAAACCCGGACTCATGACATGGCTACATCACATACATACTAAACTTGCAAGGCAAACATGTGCAATAACTATGCCACAAACTGCTCAAGCTATGCTAGACATAGCATATATGAAAGGCGCATGCTACACGCAACAATAACTCTGGCTAGACATTATAGACCCCAATAGGGCAGATTAGACATATGCTGGAAACACTCTTGGGGACATACGGTAGTCAAAAATCGAACAAATAACAGTAGAGTCGGCGAAGCCGGCGGGCGTTCTCCCTCGCCAAAAATGAACAAACAAACAACTAGAGGTAACTTTCTAAGTGTGTTCTTCATTATTGCTCTCTTCTTGCTGTTTGCCATCTTTCATTATTGACTTTCTTGCTTTATGTCTTGCTTTCTTTCCTTTCTCTGTTTCTTTCTTTCTTAGGGAAACGCTAAACATGGTCTAATAGACGTGGTCCAAGGATTATACAAGGTTCGGCCAATTGCAGCACGATTCTTCCCGCCGCGTCGGCAATGCATCGGTGCTGGGCCAACTGCAGCGACTTTTGCGCGGCATGATGCGTCGTGCTGCAACCCACGTTCTGCGTTACTGACGAGTCAGCAATGCGCCCTAGGGTGCATCTCGATGAAAAACGCTGGGCGTTACACCACGTTGGTTAGACCACGTTTAGTGTTGCCTGATATATGTTCTTTTTTAACTTACTTGCTTGCTTGCTTTACTTCTTTCTTTCTTTCCGTTCCTTTCCTTTCTCTATTTCTTTCTTTGCTTTTATTGCATTGTCTCTTGCTTTCTTTCTTTCGTTCTTTCTTGCAGTTTCTTCCTTCCTTTTCCTTCTCTCCTTCTGGTCTTCTTTCCTTCTTTCTTTCTGTATGTCTTTCTTTCCTTCCTTCCTTCCTTCCTTCCTTGCTTCTTTCTTTCTGTCTTTCTTTCTTTCTTTCTTTCTTTCTTTCTCTCTTTCTTTAGGTTTATCGTTTTTGTTTTTTGCTTTTTCTTTAAAAAAAAAAGAAAAACATGTTATATATATATATATATTTCTGTTGTTCCTTCTTTCTTTCTTTCTTTCTTTCTTTCTTTCTTTCTTTCTTTCTTTCTTTCTTTCTTTCTTTCTTTCTTTCTTTCTTTCCCTCTTTCTTTGTTTATGTTTTTTTGTCTTGTTGTGGTCATTCTCGTCCTACCTACGCTCCGAAAATGCTCTGAGAGCGCTCCGGCCAGGCGTCGCGATCAACCAAAACTCGCAAAGAGTTGCAATTATTTAACATGCCTTTCCCCCAGCCACACGCGCATGCATATTCTCATGCGTGCTATGTCTTCTCGTGGGCATCGAGAGCTGGCTTTCAATTATATAGTTGCCATGCCACGGATGTCCGAAGCTTCCAACGAATATGTCTAGCATGCCAGGCGTACAGAGTTGAACGACCCTAAAGAAAGGAACCAACATTTGAGGTTCATTCGCAGGAACCCATCAAAAGACGTGCGCGCGCCCTGCCCTTTGGGGACATTCCGGCTCCGAGGGTTCCACTGGATGGAGGGTCGGTCCCAAGTGAAGCCACTTGAGAAAGCGCCACCGGAAAGGCGAAAAACTGAACCGGGATCCTTACACGAAAAACACCAGAACATTGCAACTTGTACAATTTTGCTGGAAAAAAACATGTTTCAAATGGCAAAGTGTATCGTTTGAGCCCTGCTGAACCGGGCAAGCAAGAAGTGATGGAGAAAGATGGCCGGGCCCTTTCCGGGCGTCTTGTTCCACTTGTAGTGCCAGCCACGGTTGCAATTGTAGTCCACCCGGCATTCGCCCACGATGGTGTGGAGGTCGCCTGCACGTGGTCTACCCTTCACCCCATGGGATTGATGCACAGGGCGTAGGAAACCGAATTGGCCTCACCTATCGCGATCCTAACCTACCCAGGCTTTTGGCTTGGAGCCCCCTTCAGCTACGACCAAAAAAGGTGAACGATTGTTTCCTGGGTGAAAAATGGGTCGCCGACCGAGGTGTGTTTTTATGTTCTTTCTTTTTTGGAAACACACCAGAGTGGGATGGCTTCAAACCAAAAACCAACCTTGAGTCCCTGGCCTTGAGAAGCGTTTTGATCTGGGAAACGCAGGTTAGAAAGAAATGACAGTGCAAGCGGGTGCCTCGCACATGAAAAAACTTGGCCACAAGGGGTATTCCACGAAAGAAAACTGTGACGCGTCTGCTTCAAATGTGTTTATCCTAAAACCTGAAAAGGGTTTTGGGGACCAACAACAAGTTGATCGGAGGGTGCTTGACTCCACAAGGAGTCAGATGTCGATGGGCTAGTCGAACAGGAAAAAGGGGATGACCTATGCCTATACCGTTCAATCGGTTCCTGTGATGCATGGGCCCAACCTGCTTTCAACGGGGTAAATCAAATACTGGAGATTCTGCCCCCAGCCACAAAAACCAGCTCCCGAAACCAGCGAAACAAGCTGTCGCTCCCTCGGAATCAAAGACAATGTCAACCCAATGCTCGAACTTGCGTCTGAGTACTTCGTCGCTTTGAAGGGGGCTGGTATCATAGAAACTGGCCACCTAAAACCCTACTTTCGGTGGACCCTCCCCCAAACACGGTTCATGAACTCCTTGAGAAAGGTTCCCTTTGTCTCATAGAAACAAGCTCCCAATTCAACCTTCGAGCTCCCAATTTTCTACAAGGACTAGTCTGGCCCGAAGCTGCGAAGCTATCGGCTCCCGTCAGCAAAACATGTTCCATTGCGAAAAAGTCAGCCGCTGACGACATCTTTCAAGAGGGATTCCCTTATCATAATGTATTTTTCTTTTTTTAAACTAAAAACAAACTGGCCGTCTAAAACCATATGGGCTCATATGGGTATGTGTCAAGCAAGGGGGCTCCAAAAGCTGGCGGTTTCCCTTTTTCCTAAAACCTACGAAAACCCACAAAGAGCAACCTCGGCCGTCTTGACAGGCCACTGGTCCTTTCTGCGACAGGCACTTTTTTGCTGTTGCAACCCAAAAAGAGGAACAACTTCCAGCCACTGTTTGGACCGTACTTTGGCACTTGAGTTGGGAAAAAAAACGCAAACTTTGAAGAAGACCAGGTTGGTATCATAGGCAACCAAACACCCCCTTGCCATAGGCTTATGGGGAACCCCAATCGGCTCAGAGAAAAAAACAAAGGGCAGGGGTCTCGCATGGGAAAGGGCGGCCTGCCCAAGTGAAATTGGAGTAAATGGCCTACTTTCACGTGGACACCTCAGCAGCCGCATTAAGGTCAACGAATCCCGCTGATTCTCACACGGACCCTTCAACCTTGAAGCCTCGAACCCCGCCTCGGTTCATGAAGGGCGTCATCAGCCACCTGGGTGTCAAATAGAGGGTCAAACAAATCCTGGTGGAAATGAAGGACGAGCCAAAGATTGATCCTGGGCAGAAGTTCTTATTTCATGAAAGCAAGACATCCGCTGGCCAATAGACAAATAGACAGCTTGCCCTTGTGGGCATATGAACAAATGAGCTGCTTGGGTTTCTTTCTCAAAAGGCGACCCTCAAAACTAGTGTTCTTTCTACAATATCCCCTCCAGAACCACCCCAAAACACAGAACAACACACACGCAGTATCACGCATTTAGCACCCAAATGTGGGCGTGTTGATTTCTTTTTTAAAATGTCCCGGTTGGGTCAGCTTGCAAGAACGCCAAAAGGAACTACCCTCTCTCCCGCTAACATAGCACCTGTTGGAGGGGTACCTGGAAGATCAACTTGCTGAAGGGACCCTCTGCAAGGTGCCATGTGGCGCCATGCGTACGCATTTTGGGGATGCTGAGAGAAGGTGTGACACCTGTCTCGCACCCAGCCGCAGCCCGCGTTGATCCACCACCTTGTCCGGCGCGCCGGTGGAGGCGATGCAGTAGTCTGAGACCCCGTTCATCTTCCGCAAGGCCTAGCCCACAATTGCCCCGTGGATACAGACAGGTTGAAAAGCAGGACAACCATGATACACATGTGTGGCTTGAGGGGGTACCCGTGTTGGTGTGTTTTGGCTTGAAGGAACGAAAAAGGGAAGCCCCGCAATGTTTGGTGTTCGTATTTCAAGGCTCGCCCATGTCGTTTTGAAAGCTTGCCTAGCCCAGCGGATTTCCATGAAGAAAAACTCATTGGGACACTTTTTGGGCTGCTTGATTCTCAGGGGAACCCCTTGGACCAGCCAAGGCCAACGTATGCCTTTGCTCGTGTGCGATCAGCAGTCTTTTTGCTAAAATTGCTAATGCCTGCTCATGGGCTCATCCATGCCAGCCAGCCGAGTTTGCTCATCCCCTAAGCCAACTGATGGCGGCTTTGCCTCCCCTCAAAGAAAGCGAAGCTTGCTTGTGGCCCTTTGCGAACCTGAAAGCGCAATATACATTCAAAGGGGAGCCCAGCAAACAGGCGGCCTCCCTTTGTAGAAGAAGTTAGACGAAACAACGATTCCCGCACCAAAGTGCGATCTTGTGCTTTCCATTTGGCAATGGGCGTGCACGAACATGTGGGTACCCCAAATTGGTTGGTGTCCAGTGGGAAAAGCTGAAGAAAAGTTGGCCTTGCACCCAAAGTCTCCTGGCCTCGACTTCTCTCATGCTTGTACTGTCAGTCCGCATGATATGCTTCAGCGCGACATAGGCGTCAGTCGTCGCACAAGCGGCCTGAGCCAAAGGGGGGGGAGCGGTCGATTTTAGCGAGACATCCTCAGTACCCTCCTCAGTACCCTCGGGCTTTTGGTTGAAAGTAGCCTCGAACTCTCTAACTGGGCTCTCCAAAAAAGTTGGACCTCATGGGTAGGTCCGGCCCTTTGGTGTCTTCATTTTGTGCCCAACCTCAAAACGATTCCCAAGACGCACATGGCCCAGGCATGGGACATCCCCGGCGAAACGTAGACCTTTTGGCTGGAAGGGAAAATGATGGAACACCTAAAGGGCAAAAACGCCGTCTGCGGTCTCTTGTTGGGTGAGTGCCAATTTTCTGGTAAACAGGCGGCAACCATTTCGACGGACATGGCGCCGTCTCCGCGGCAGTTACACGAACTAAAATCGAGACTTTGGCGGCCGAATGGCTGATGCACCAAACAAAACGAGTGAAGTGGGACGACCTTTGGTGGATTGCTCCTTTCTCATGGGCTCAGCTGATTGGCTAGACCCGCAGAGTTTCGGCACCCAATTAGGTTGCAACCTAAGTAGGTCAACATCTAAGTACTGTGTCCAAACCAGGCGGCTTGTGACTTCCACAAGCCCGAGAAACTCGCAAAAAGCTGACCCCCAATTTGCCACCCTGGGTGCTGAATAAAAGGGTCTGAACAAATCAACAATCTACCGGACAATTTTGGCTCATCCACTGTTGGTTGCCCGCTGGGACAATTCAGAACTATGCTATTTAGCACCCTGATGGCAATGAATCAAAGTGGTTCCGCTTGGCTTTGTGCACATCACATTCCAGAAAAAAGAACAACTTATTTCTAAGAGGCTTGACACGCACAAAAGAAGAAACGTAAGATGTGACAGAACCGCGCGCTTTCCAAGTCGGCCGAGTCTTAGCCAGGGATGGCTGGAACCCAACGGCCTGGCCAAAGGGGACAAAACCCCGGTCGATGGCATGCGACGTCTACTCCAAACCAGTGGGAACCAGGGGCAGGGCTGCTTCTGCACAACAGAAATGTGTTGTTTGATTTCATTGGTGACAGTATCCGCCAGCCATCCGCAACTTGATTCGCAGTCCGGTCGACTGTTTCTTTTGCGTCTGGCCAGCAAATCAGGAATACAGAGGATAAATCCATTGTGCGCAATCCACCTGCGCCCCTTGCTGCGGAAAAAAAGAGGTTAAGAGCCAATAGCCAGCCAACTGGCTGAGCAACCAGTTTTGCGGCAGCTGATCAGCCAATCAATCAAGTAAGATGCGAACCAGTCAACCAACCAACCAACCAACCGACCGACCGACCGACCAACTGACCGACCAACCGACCAACCAACCAACCAGCCAACCGGCCAACCGGCCAACCGGCCAACCGGCCAACCGGCCAACCGGCCGGCCAGCCAGCCAGCCAACGAACCCAGCCAGCCAGACCAACCAACGAACCAGCCTGCCACTCAGCCCAGCCAGCCAGCCTCTTAACCAACCAGCCAACCAACCAGCCGACCAGCCAGCCAGCTAGCCAGGCCAGCGAGCCAACTAGCCAACCCACTTTGGAAATCTAAAGCACGGTCGATCCCTTCGAAGGTACGAAGAACTTGGTTTCTCCGCGCCTTGGCCTTGAAGACCTCTCCAAATCCCCCCTCTCCAAGCTTCTGAACCTCGGCCGGCATCGATAGTTTGATTGGAAGTTGGGGGCCGCTTTCAAGTGTGGAGCTTGGGTGCGCTTGCCCATTTTGTGCAGGAACCGGCTCAGCTCTGGTGGTGGGACTGGTGATTTAGGTTGTTCTGGGGGTGGTCTCCCGTTCGATCCAAACCACCTGACAAAATCCAAAACCCAAGAGGAATGAGGCAAATGCTGGCACCGGGCTTCAGTCGGGCATGTTGGTGGTCTGCGACTGCTTTCGGGCAAAAGATAGAAAATGGTAGCAAACACATTGCTTGGTGGGCAAGCTGGGGGGATGGTCAAGGGGGCTCGATTCGGCAACCGAATCCCCGACTTCGCTCAAAACGCGGCACGGCCCGCCAAGGTGCGATTTTCAGGCGGTACTTCCATGCTGCGGGCACGTTAACAACAATGCTCTCGTTGGCCTCCTGAAGAATTGCCGGTGTGGAATCGAGGATCCGGAAAGAAATCATCAAAGGATCACCTATTGAATTTAATGTGGGTACGTTCAATATATATATATATTATTGGCTGTTTTACGATTTAGCAGCGAGATTGTTGCTCCCTCCCTCGCTATGGGTTGGGGGTGTGGGGCGCCAACTTGATGTGCGTCGTTGTTGGGATTGACAGCTTTCGAATGGATTGTTCAGTGGCCATTTGACAGCCATTGCGGGGCTCTGGCTGGTATTGCTAGGTAGTTAGGATTTTGGGTCGTGCTTGGGGCTGACCGTAGATCCGTGCAATCCATGACGCTTCCATGGGCCACAGCTGGGGAATGCGTCTTACGGCGCGCAGGTTTTCTTGCGCAAGCGCGCTCATGCGAGTTTGCTCGCGCGGGTGATTTGTGGAAGCGTTCCTTGAAGTTGCTGGCTGCAAGTGATCGGAACAAGTTGCTCTGCGCAAGTGCTCCGTGCAAGTGCTCTGTTAAGCTGCTCTGCGCAAAGTATGCTCTTCCAAGTGCGTTCGTGCGAATGTGCGCGTCGTGCGCTCGTGCAAAGGCGCTCGCGGAAGTGTGCTCAGGCAAGTGTGCTAGTGCGCTCGTGCGAGCGTGCTCGTGCAAGTGCGCTCGTGGAAGTGTGCTCGCGCGAATTTGACAGCGATCTTTCTGGAAGAACCAATCGAAAATGCTTTTGGGGAGAAGCATCCTGAGACATGATAAATGCGCATGGGTAGTTGGATATAAAAAAATGACCAGTCATCACCTTTTGGAACCAAATGACCAATCAGGAAACCAAATCGGGGGAACCAACAGATCAAAGGGCAAATAGACCAACTTTTTGGGAAGCCAAGTGGTCAAGTGGTCATCCCTCGCTCCCCGCCCTGCGCCTCCTGCAGAAAGCTGCGCGTTGGCTTCACCATGGGCAGCTGGACGCCCTGCTTCAGCAAGGCCAAGCCAGTGGCGTTGAAGGTAGCCAGGCGGACATGGCCTCACATCGCGGGCCAGATCCGAGCGGCCAAGATCTGCCAAGGTCTGGGAGAGTAAAGCACTTACATCAGGTTTGTGCCCGCTGGGGACCTGGACCTGGCGGAGAGAATCTAAAGGCTGAAGGCTCTCGAAAAACATCTGAACCGCATCAACCCCGCCGGAATCTTTTCCAAGGCTCCCCTTACCCATTTTGCCCAGGGGCCCTTGCATGGAGCTTTCTGGCCTTCCGCACCCCAAACCCCAGCAAAGCACAGAACGACCCAAGCAATACTTCCCAACGCCTGGACGCGAACACGGTATTTCCCCCCGTATCTTTTAACAACACACTCATGGGTCGAAGTGTTTTCTTGCTGGTTCTCAGGGAATGAGGAATGGAATGACCCATCGAAACCATCCAACTGGTGGTTTCCTTTAAGGGGACCCCATGAAAACCATATAAAATCCATCCAACTGGTGGTTTTCCTAGGTGACCAAATTATTCGCAGCGATCGAGAAGGTTTTGGTGGGCACCGTCATCGTAGTTGGCTTCCTCCACCTGGCGCTCGGCCACGGCCAAAGCGAGAAGCGAGAGGGCGAACAGCTGCATGGCTTTGACAGGCGACGTAGTATGACAGGAAAGGGTGCATGGCTTGAGCCGAAACACGAGAACAAATATGGGTGTGGGTGAAAATTAGACCACTAGGGGACCGCAGGTTTTAGTCCATGTTTCCATTTACTAAGGGTCCATGTTGGGTACCTATTTTTGACCCACAGCCATATGTAGCCATGAGCCTAGATTGCACTTGAAAGGCTGCCGCCTGTGTTGCAATCCAATCGTCGCTGAGTTCCAGGCTGGGTGCAAAAGCTAGGCGTCCAACACAATATTTGCATGACAGCAAGGCCATAAGCGGTACCTCGCATTGTGGAAAGAGCAGCGAATGACTCCGAGAAAGCTTAACCTACTCTAGCGGCACACGCCGGTAAGTTACAAGTTCCTTACGAGAATCAGGATTAACCTGCTTCAAGGTACTTGGCCCACGTTCGCTCTGGAGCCCTTTCGCCGCATCGGAACCTACTGGGATCACCTTGCCAAAATCTGATGTTCTGCTTCGGGTGTGGCTGGGAGATGCCGGGAGCAACCTTAAACTCTCCTTTGGCAAAATGGCCAAGCCCTTCAAAGAAAACAACTACATAAATAGCAGCTGGACTGCGACTCTTGACAGCTCGATTGCTTGTGAAGCCCGTGCACTACATAGGGGTCTGGAACAACAGCAACAACTATCAATAACCTTTCGTTGGAAAACAAAAACTGCTTGTTTTTCAGCACACAAACCCCAACACAACATGTTCCAACTCCTGCATGCTCCATTCTCCTGAAACCGCAGCTGACGCGCTGAAATGTGGAACCCCCCACCTTTTCGAGCCACTGGGCCAAAGACCTCGCCGCCCGGTTGGGGGCATCGATCTTCACACCTCTTCCCTTCCGCCCACATGGCGAAAAATGATACAGGTATCCTGGACGACGGGCGACTAAAACCAGCGCGATTTGTTCCGCCGCCCAAACTCGGACGATGTCCGATTAACATTATGTGAGTGTGAAAAAATAGGGGGACCCTAAAACATGTCGACCGCATAAAACATCTAAATGATTTCTTATTCCGGGGTCAACAGTAGTTGTGTCCGCTGTTGGTTTCCCTCTAAAGCTGTCCCCTGTTGGTTTCCCTCTAAAGCTGAAATTTCAAAGGCTCCGGTCCGCAGAAAGCGCTCACGGCCATATCACTGGCACTGGCTCATGTGGAAGTGGTGCTTCACCAGCCTCCCATGGCGCAGCACCTGACGGAGGCGCCAACCCGGGTGGCAATCACCTGGGTGACCCTTGGCTTAGACGGAACCGATGTGGCCATGGGTGGTGCCATGTCTGTTCAAACACGGGGGATCCCTCATCCGCAGCCCCTAGGAAAAAAAGCACCACGACAACAGCAACCACTATCTGCCATCAGGATAAAGGATTGGATTTGGGCAAGGCAGTCTTGACCATGATCCACAATTGAGTTTCGCAAGGGGGATCACACAAATGACAATATATTGGCAGAACAGGGCCCAACAGGAAACCAAGATTGTTGATGCCAGAGGGTACAGTACCTGTTCCACAGCTGGTTGGAAAATTAACGGGCTCTCAGCCACTAGTCCAACAAGCAAACTCCAGCACAAACCATCCAATCTTCCCTTACAAGGCGATTGGGCCTTGGTTCTTGGTTGCCATTGTTTACCTTCGGTGCCTTGTGGAAAAGCAACAGGCCTCAAAATGTCACAAAGCAGAGCACACCTCTCTAAGGTTCTTCCTTCCTTCGCCTAGGGTCTCCAGTTAAGCAGCCGGCTACAAGAAAACTCGAACCCTGATTAAGTTTTAGGTGCTTAACCAGGTACCTGCTGATTGCACGAAGGCTAAATCAATGAATAATATATATACACATACGTGTTTGACTAAAAAACGTGCAAATAACTGACAGGCGCACTAGCGCGGGCCTTTTCTTAGCTGCTGTCGGATGAGCTATCCGAGCTTGTAGAGCTGCTTCTATACGAGGATTCTTTAACACACAAGAAATCCCGATGTTCTACACCTTCGTTCTACGGGTATATAGTTTTACTTAACCTGACTACAGCCTCGAAACATGCAAGTGCCCTAGTGTACACTACACTACATTACATTACATTACATTTCATTACGTTACATTACATACATTACATTACATTACACTACATTACATTACATTACATTTCATTACGTTACATTACATACATTACATTACATTACATTACATTACATTACATTGCATTACATACATTACATACATTACATACATTACATACATTACATACATTACATACATTACATACATTACATACATTACATACATTACATACATTACATACATTACATACATTACATACATACACATTACATACATTACATACATTACATACATTACATACATACATACATACATACATACATACATACATACATACATACATACATACATACATACATACATACATACATACATACATACATACATACATACATTACATACATACATACATACATACATACATACATACATACATACATACATACATACATACATACATACATACATACATACATACATACATACATACATACATACATACATACATACATACATACATACATACATACATACATACATACATACATACATACATACATACATACATACATACATACATACATACATACATACATACATACATACATACATACATACATACATACATACATACATACATACATACACATACATACATACATACATACATACATACATACATACATACATACATACATACATACATACATACATACATACATACATACATACATACATACATACATACATACATACATACATACATACATACATACATACATACATACATACATACATACATACATACATACATACATACATACATACATACATACATTACATACATACATACATACATACATACATACATACATACATACATACATACATACATACATACATACATACATACATACATACATACATACATACATACATACATACATACATACATACATACATACATACATACATACATACATACATACATACATACATACATACATACATACATACATACATACATACATACATACATACATACATACATACATACATACATACATACATACATACATACATACATACATACATACATACATTACATACATACATACATACATACATACATACATACATACATACATACATTACATACATACATACATACATACATACATACATACATACATACATACATACATACATACATACATACATACATACATACATACATACATACATACATACATACATACATACATACATTACATACATACATACATACATACATACATACATACATACATACATACATACATACATACATACATACATACATACATACATACATTACATTACATTACATTACATTACATACATACATTACATTACATTACATACATACATACATACATACATACATACATACATACATACATACATACATACATTACATACATACATACATACATACATACATACATACATACATTACATACATACATACATACATACATACATACATACATACATACATACATACATACATACATACATACATTACATACATACATACATACATACATACATACATACATACATACATACATACATACATACATACATACATACATACATACATACATTACATACATACATACATACATACATACATACATACATACATACATACATACATACATACATACATACATACATACATACATACATACATACATACATACATACATACATACATACATACATACATACATACATACATTACATACATACATACATACATACATACATACATACATACATACATACATACATACATACATACATACATACATACATACATACATACATACATACATACATACATACATACATACATACATACATACATACATACATACATACATACATACATACATACATACATACATACATACATACATACATACATACATACATACATACATACATACATACATACATACATACATACATACATACATACATACATACATACATACATACATACATACATACATACATACATACATACATACATACATACATACATACATACATACATACATACATACATACATACATACATACATTACATACATACATACATACATACATACATACATACATACATACATACATACATACATACATACATACATACATACATACATACATACATACATACATACATACATACATACATACATACATACATACATACATACATACATACATACATACATACATACATACATACATACATACATACATACATACATACATACATACATACATACATACATACATACATACATACATACATACATACATACATACATACATACATACATACATACATACATACATACATACATACATACATACATACATACATACATACATACATACATACATACATACATACATACATACATACATACATACATACATACATTACATACATACATACATACATTACATACATACATACATACATACATACATTACATTACATACATACATCTACAAACATGTACATTTACATTGACATTTAGATACATACAGACATGCATGCATTACGGTACATTAGGTGATATTATGTTGCATTCCATGAGATTACATTACATTACACTCATACATTACATTACATGAACTTCCATGACACTACATTGCATTACATTACATTACATACATACATTTCCACATACACACATATGTACTCACATTCCATACCATACCATACCATACCATATCATACCATACTGTACCATACCATACCATACCAATACCATACATACATACATCACAACGTACATACATACAATAGTTTTACATTACATTACCTTACATTACATCACATCACATCACATTTCATCCCATCACATTACATTATATACGCACGTTACATACATACATGCATGCATGCGTTGCATTACAGTACATTACATTACAACATTACGTCACATTACATATGTTTATATATGTATACATATGTCTGTATATACATGTCTGCCTGATGTGCTAAATCATGACACACCTAATTCCCCTGTGACCATGGTGACCTGATTGGTTTTCAGGTTCCCCACCCCTCAGCAAATGATTTCGGACCTTGTAGGTAGTGGTAGTAAAAGCAAAAGCACGCAAAACACTGAAGGTGTTTGAAATGAAAGGACCCCCCCCCCCCGCCGCACGATCTCAAACCTAGGCCTTGCTCGCCAGAAACAACAGGCAGGCCTGACACTTGCAGCAGGGGTTGCAGCCGATGCAAATGCCGCAGGACAGCCAGCCATTGGCCTCCACCGGCCTCAGCAAAGCGCAGGGATCTGTTCTCTGAGGACTTGTGGAATCCCTAAACAGGGTAGGTACAAAGGGGGGTGGGTAGTTGCGAGCTGTCGGGTTTCTTAGGGCTTGGAGGTTTGTTATAGTTCTTAAGGAGGATCAGGGCAAACCCCCCCTCCCCCTCATGGACCCCCTCCCTTACAAATTACATAAGGGACCATACACCGCCGCCAAAAAAAGACTTCCAACAGCATGCCGTTCAAGGGGTAGCTGAAAGCTATAGGGGTTGTAACTTCAAGTAAAAAAGGGGTGGGTGAGTTCCAGAATTCCGGCCAGGTGCTGTTTTTGGGTGCTGCTGCCGCAGGGTGCTCGGACTTGCGCAGGGTGCTGCTGCAGGGTGCTGCTGCAGAGTGCTGTTGCAGGGTGCTGCTGCAGGTGCTGCAGGTCAAGACACGGAGTTGGGCAGGGGTGCTGCTGCTGGTTGCAGGGTGCTCCTGCAGAGTGCTGTTGCAGGGTGCTGCTGCAGGCAGAGGCTCAACATGGTGCTGCTGCAGTGCCCGGTGTATTGGAACGGGTATCTTTAGTTCGTTGGCTGACAACACATTCTTGCTATCTGGGGTCGACACTGGGAAAGTTAAATGGCAGCCAACAAACAGTAAAAGTACCACTAAACAACTCAAAATATGTAAATTAATAAATAAATCAATAATATATATATATATATATAAATAAATATATATATATATAGTATATAAAGGCACCAGTCGCTTGTGGAAAGCAGTCCGGAACTGGGTCAAGCTCGATATTTTGTAGGGTGGAGGGTAAGCCGCACCTTTCCGAATGCGTGTAACTGATTTACCCCCCCCCCTCCCATTTACGTCCCCTTAAAACATCACCTCCCCAAAGAATGCCCACCTTGAGACCCAAAAGGTGATGCTTAGTTTTGGGTTTGCTCCGGGACTCTCCAAAATGATGATTTTCCCGTAAAACCACTAAAAACCTTCAAACCGAGGGGCCTATTTACGCAGTACTTCCTAGAGAAGGACTCGTCGCCTATGTCAATGCCGCTGAAGGAGGCGTCATCGAAAAGGCAGTCAGCGAGCGGCGCTTGCACCCCCCGCTCCGCCGGGCTCTGACTGGCGAAAAGGAACTTGGGATCTCGGAAGGGACTGGGGCGGTCTTATTTTGAGGGTGCCATTTTTGGGCTTGGTTTAAAAGGAAACCTACGGGAGTCACCAAGGGTTTGAGAATGAGCTGGGAGAGGATCCCCACAAAGGAAACCATGAATGCCAGTGGCTGACACCTCTCCTGCTGGCTACTGCCCCCAAGCATATGCTGGTGAGCGGTTGGCAAGACATGTTCCGACACAACTTTGGCATGTGAGACACTCTTCTTTTCGAGGAGACAGGCGGAGGTAGGCGGAACTGTCCAAAAAGGTCTACAACAAGGACAACCCCGGTTGACAAACACTTGACATCTTGGCCAAGCAGGAATGGTGGTGCAGGCCCCTCAAGTCATAGCCTTTGACTGAAAGGCGCGAAGATGCGGCAGCTTTCTTTAGAAAACTTTGCGTGGAGGTAAGCAGGGCACTCCCCCGGTAGGTGCTTTTCTGCGTATGTTGTTAGGTTTTTTTGGTCGGGGGTTCATGTAAATTTTCAGGGTGAGTTCGGAACTCGACAAACCCCCTCCTTTCAGTCAGGATGCATGCAGATTTCGGGTGTCCACAAGAAATTAGAGCCTCGGCGTCTGCCCGCTGGCCAGCAAGGGTCCAGAATAATTGCAAATGGGAGGGGGGACCCCACCAATGGGTTAATTTCCGTTGGTCTCCCTTTATGCGGGGTCCAACTCCCCATGAAACGTTTGCCCCTTCGCAACCCAGATGTATAAAAGGTGATCACCTTTTGGGGCCTGAAAGGTCAGATTTTCTGTTTGACGCAAACAACTCAGGCAAGCTTCCAGAGGTCCACTCCCTATAGGCCCTAGGTACGAATTACGGGACCCCCTCTTATCCGCAGGGGTGCTGCCAAAGGTTCAGAGAAACCTGGGATCAATCGGGGTCGCGGTTTTGACCAATGTCCTCTCAAACGGATTTTGTTGGGTGGGTTCCATGTCGATGGACAGGAGGGTAACAAAGGCAAGCCTTTTGCCTGGTGTCGCACAAACTCTGGCCGCCCCGGCCTGATCATCTCCAAGATCTCCAGATCTTGCGTCTCAGCCCTGAGAGGCATTTCCCAGAAACCAGCACCGATGCTCGGCTTCACACGCTTGTTGAGTACTTGCATCCTGGTAAAACAGTGGACAGCCCTGAATGAAAAGTCACCAGCCTGGAATCAGAGATCGCCATGAAAAGAACCTTCACCATAGAGCGTAAGCAGCCTAGAACAGTCAAGACAAGCCAAGTCCGTCACACGGTGGCCTTACCACGAGTCAAGGATACTGCTCAGTGTCTGGGAACAACCAAATCATAGGCCGATCTTTGCCCAGAGCCTTTCGGTCCGTCCAAGCCAATTTGTGAAATGAAGGGACCCTGAACAACAAAGACCATTCCTTGGCCAGACTGCCCTCCAACAAGTTACCTGTTTGGTTAACATGAACACTGAGGAGGAACTTTGAAAGGGTAATACCGCCAGAACTTCATGGTCGAGCCAAACAATGCACCGTACCCGCTTCCCAACAAATGCACCCAACATGAGTTGCAACCTCAACGTGGCCCCTATATGTATCCGCAGCCTTTTCCAGAAAACCTAGGCGATCCTAGAAGGATGCATGCCCAAAAATAACCTGCTTCACAGAGGGGATCCATCAGTGATTTCTGACCTGGCCCACATGAGTCTTTTCATCGATCCTGCCTGATGAGTCTGTCCAGCGCCTCCAGCGCTGGGTCGAGGCGGATGCGGCTAACCACAGCGTCTTGCTTCAGCATCGCCGCGATCAGCTGGCCAATCCCGCCCTGCAGGAGAGGGTCCTTCTCTGGGCTGTAGGTTCCTCGGCTGCTAGCGAGAACCGAGGTGCTTCTGCCACCTCTTTCGGGAGCCCTTCAGTAGAAGACCTTCAGTAGAAGACCCACGCTTTCAGTGACTTAGGGGGGCCAAATGCTGTGTGCGCCCAAATCAACCCCTCGCCAAACGGTTTGCATCATGCGGAAACACCAGTCGGCCATGAGCGCGCTCAAGCAGGATGCGCATGAGCGAACAATCCGCATGGATGCAAGACTTTCAACTGAACCCTGGGCAGGATCCAGGGACCCACTGACGGGGGGCGGCCTACTGGAAGAGCCAAGGGCCTGCAGTCTGGTAGCAGGAGGTGTTTCTTTCAACCAGAGTGAGTAAGACATCATAATTCTTGGTAGATGTGGATAGGTCCAGGGTATGACTAAACTTACTCAACTTCCACTTTCGGTAAGTAAAGGGGATGCTCTTTACCAACAGGATGAAGTTGCGCCATGTGCTTGCGCCCAATTGAAGGAGTTCTTAACTTACTAGGGCCGTCAAGGCGACAGCAAGCTGAGGAGCAAAAGCCTTCCCAAATCATCGAGGCAAACAAGTGTTGACCCCAGCTTCATCAACCTCTGGTTGCTTAATAGACGTACACTTTGGGAAACATCCCATTTATCTGTGAGGCTGGCTATGGGGTCAACATTACCGTAATTCACCAACCCTGAAATTAAGGACTAAGCAACGTGCCTTCAGAAAGGGCGTGGCTTGGTTGATCCCCTTTTTTCGGCCGGCTCGTTACACCCCTAAAACCATCCCGTCCGATTCACTCCAAAGGCGAGGCTCCGGTCAGGCGCCCACTCCTATCCCCCCGGAAGGGTGGCATTTTGAAGTAGGTCAGGCGGTACAGAATCACGCCCAGTGAGAACACGTCGTTGGCCCCAGCCCCAATCATCGTCCTACAGCACAAAAGCCGCAAAACGGCTGGCCGTTTTAAGGTTTGTTTGGAAACACCAAAACAAAAGGAAATATACGGGGAACCCTGTTGCACCCCGTTTTGAAGGAGAGGGCTGGGTTTGCAGTTCCCCAATTCCATTCGTGCGAGTTGTTTCCACATGAGTTGCCATAAATTGAGTGAGCTAAGGTTAAGAAACCCATTGGTGATTAAACAAGCTCCGATTTGGTCCACTTGCAGGGAAGCGACAGGGAGGCTGCTTGTAACCCTAACACCACTTTGCAACCCACCCTGCCGCTTCCACCGCGAAAGGTGGGGGAAAACTGGTCCGTCCTCGACCACACCTCGGGAGCAATGAACCCAGGCGTCCCCCCCCAGCTGCACTTTTGATATCTGTGGAGCGTGTTGCGGTAGCACGCCAGGCCAAGGTCGATCACCGTGGCGAAGCATTTCCTTTGTTGGGTCCGAACCCCCGAAATGAGGGCCTTCGCCTTGCTTCTTTTTTGTGTTTCACACCCCAAAAGGTACTTTCAACAAGAGCTACACCGAATTTCCCCTGGTTCTCAATCAGGGAAGGTTTTGGGGACTTCCGCAGAGGTAGCTAGCCCACCCCTTGGATGGGTTTAGTTTGGCATGCCCGCCATCGAACAGGTCACGCAGGTGGTTCATCATGGCATCTGCTGGAAACTAATCCCCCTCTTGAAGGACACCCCCCCACCCCCCAGAGCCATGTTTGTTGGAGGGGGGCAGCTGTTTGAACAAGATCTCCTTCTTGGACTTCAAGGCTTGTTGGGCGAGGCTCGGCCCGTTGCAATTGATCATGATGTTCTGCGGCTTGAGGTCCATATGGGTGATGCCGTGGTTATGCAAGGCCTGCACCCCCTGCATGACCTGTCTCGACGGAGTCATGGCCCCGACTCCCTTGGAGATCCTGTATATAGACATTCATGCGTGCATTTGTATGTGTATACTGTATATATATATATGTATTGCACTGTACTGTGTTGTATTGTGCTGTATTGTATTGTACTGCATTCTATTGTATTGTATTGTAGTGTAGCGTAGTGTATTGTATTCTGTATTGATTGTATGTATGTGTGCATATGTGTATGTAGGTACGTATGTATGTACGTAGGTATGTATGTATGTATGTATGTATGTATCTATTTATGTATGTATGTATCTATCTGTATATCTATGTATCTATGTATCTATGTATCTATGATGTATGTATGTATGTATGTATGTATGTATGTATGTATGTATGTATGTATGTATGTATGTATGTATGTATGTATGTATGTATGTACGTGCATGCATGCATGCATGCATGCATGCATGCATGCATGCATGCATGCATGCATGTGTGTGTGTGTATGTATGCTTGTATTGTATTGTATTGCATTGTGCTGCATTGTATTGTGTTATTTGTATTGTATTGCATTGCATTGCATTGCATTGCAGTGTATGTATGTACGTACGTATGTATGTTGCACGCACACTTTCATATGAGCATGCATAGGCATGGAGGCACAAGTGCATTGTTGTATGTTGGATGTACTTATCTGAAAGTGTCTAACATAATTCAGCTTACAAGGAGCCGTTCAAGGCCTGTGACCTTGCCACGCAATCAGCTGCAACCATTATGCATCACAATGGAACTGGAGGCTGCCACCTCGAATGGCTGGGAACTGCGAGACGGAACCCTCAACAGTGCTTGGTGGACATAAATCCTCGGAAGACGCCCACCCAGTTCAACATGATTTGCAGACTTCCCTGATTTTTGACGTCAGTGACCAATAACTCGAACGCCAAATCCAAAAAAAACAAAGCCAACACTTAGAGGCTCGGTTTTCGGGGGCGAAACCCGCGCCTGGAACATCAGGGCCCAAATATAGACTTGGCTGTAGGGCTTCCCCAGCCTCGGCTTCTTTCTTTTGTCGCGCGTCGTCTTCGGAGCGGGCTGGTTCAACGTGGAGGGACATCAAGCGGGAAACAACCTCTCAGTCTTTGTTGAGGAAAATCATCATTTTCAGACGAGTTGGCCTGTTGATTCTTTGGTGTGGGCGCAGCTGTTTGCTTGTTAAGGTTGCTCAGAAGCGCGTGTGCTGCGCTAGAGTTCAGACCATGTTTTAAGCATTGCCTCAAGCATCAGTTTGCCCGCCCTCTTGACCATCCTTGCGGAAGGGGCAATAGCGCTACCAGTGACGCTTAGCGGAGGTGCGCTGTTTGCTAGTTGAAAACTACTCCAATTCCCGTCAAGTTTGATCGTCAAGGTCATTCTTGCAATTTTTACGCGGGCTTCGGCCCAACTGCCACAGTTTCCAATTGAGAACAAAATGCTGGCCTTCGCGCGGCTTCTCAGTGTTGCGCTCTTTTTTACTTCTTGGCCTTATTGTCAGAAGTGCTTTTCGATGTGCGTTTGATGTCAGTTCGTTTTCTAGTCAATGCAAACTTACCTGGCTAGTGTTGGGCGGAGATCCAGCAGCTCGCTCTCATAGGGTCGAGCAGTTCACTGCACTCTGAGGCCTGTAACGCCTTAGGAGTCTCCGATGGAGTCATCCATAGCAGTTCGCTTTTCTAGTAGTGGCCTTCGGGGTCGAGCGGCGCCTGCGCCTTGCGATGGAGGCAGTGAAAAGCTGTTACTTGGTGTGCGTGCGTGCGTGCGTGCGTGCGTGCGTGCGTGCGTGCGTGCGTGCGTGTGTGCGTGCGTGCGTGCGTGCGTGCGTGCGTGCGGCGCGGCGCGGCGCGGCGCGGCGCGGTGCGGCGCGGTGCGGCGCGGCGCGGTGCGGCGCGGTGGTGCGGCGCGGTGTGTGGGGGGGGGTTCTTCCCGATCTTTCTCACTCTGAAAGGGGCTCCCTGCGCAGAACAGAAATTGGCCCTGAAAACCATGCTTCGCAACCATCTTAGGGATAAGGTAAGCATGGTATCACTCCGATTGTTGGGGTTCGCTCGGCGACAACCACGGCTGCAACCTGAAAAAGGAGGCGTTGCCGTTGCCACTATCCCCTCCCACCCAAGACGCAAGGGATTGCAATTGTTGCAAAATCACAGATGGGGGCGTGGGCACAAAGTTCCTGGTCAGGGGAAGAGGATGCTGGGTCCGCTACAGTGAACATTTTCAGACGTCTTCTCAAAAAATAAGATTACTTTTGAGGGTTGGCCTTTTTCTGAAAGCCCCTTCAGGTCGCTGGATGTTTTTTCACGATAACCCTCGAAAGCGGTTGCCCCGCTCTGCAGCGGGCCACTTCTCCCACTGCAGCAGCTGGTGGTTCTGATCCGCGCACAGCACGGAACTTCGGCAGGTGACTTCAAAGTCGTGCAGCTCCCCTGCCATTTCAGATCCGCCGGATGGGAGCCATGGTTTCTCTCAACTTCTCAAGAAGGGCACCTTCCCAAAAAAGGAGGGAACCATGAAGAAAGTTGCTGAGATGGGTGGGTTTTCCTGCAGACGACTTGAGATGGGCTGGTGAGGTGATGTTTTAGCCCTGTCTGAACCCAAGTCACCCAACAGCTGCCCGGGCGAGGCTGTCACATACCGCGACACCAAAAGCTACTCCTGGTATGGAACCAGTGGAGTTCATATTCTAAGCTGGACGGATCTTGGGCTGCACAAGTTAACGCCATTGAGCCTGTTTGTTCATTCCCAATCCCCCTGTTGAATCCAGACTGCAAACCAACAAGTTTAGTGGCAAACGACCAGTTATTGTGTTTCCGTGTTTTTCTTGGCTAATCCACATTAGTGAGATCGATGATGTTTAGAGGAAACTCGTTTTGACTTCTTCTTTTTTGTTTGAGGGTTCCATGTCAATTTCTATGGGAAACTTTAGGAAGCTTCTAGCTTAAGCAAGCGAGCGTGAGGCGCCCGGAGCGCTTTCGCCTGTTGCCCTCTTTTGGTGGATTTCCTGTCAGCCGGTGGGAGCTTCCTCTCCGATGGTGAGGGACACGTCGGATTAACCAAAGAAGGCTGACGTTCCGATATGGGGGATGCTGCTTCCACACATGCCCTAACCTTGAATAGTCACGAATTGCCTTTATTCGGGCCTCGGTTTCTTCCCAACCATTGGCATGTTCAACGGCTCTTCCCTTTGCAGCCTGCACCAAAACGAAAGAGAGCGAGAGAGAGAGAGCGCAAACCATACCGCACAAAAACACGCTGCACAAGCCAAACAACTGGCAATTGACCCTTCTGCAGCTTTGTGCGCAAACACGCATTTCCCCAAAAAGCTCGAGGTTGACCTGACCCACTAAATGAGAAAGGACAAAGGCCACTGTCAAGGGCAAGGGCAGCGCTGCCTGAGTTCATAAAAGGCATCACGGTCCACAGCCCAGATTCATCCTTCACCGTATCCGGCGAGCCGGTCGAGGAGATGACGTAGTCAGTCACCCCAAACCTGAATGAAGATTTCTTAACCGGCCGGGGGGGTCGCTGTCTCCAAGTAGCTTCTCTTGGGGGACAATTCCCACACCCATATGTAATCATGTGAATCACACAATAAGTGATAATTGAATTGCATGAATCGATCAGTCAAACAAATACATACACAATAAAATATACCACACCTACACTTGGCGCCTGCACCTCCCCAACCTGAACACAGGAATCCCCAAGCAACTGTTATCACAGGTTCGGCATCGCTGGTTTTAACCTCTGGACTTCCCAGACCTACTGCCAGACCAATCCAATCCTGATGTCACATGGTGTGTGTCTGGTGTTTGAGGGTGTCCCTTTCAGGTTGGCTTAAAAGAGAACAAGGGCAACCACCTCCAACTCACCGACAGACTCAGACAACCCCAAACCACCTTGAGGCCACATGTGTGAACCCCCACTTTGACACATGCCCACGCCTACTCAAGGGGGAGGCAAACCCTCAAAGTGGGGGAGTGTCTCAAAAGCTTCCAAAATACAGGACCCCCCCAAAAAGAAAGAAAGAGTTTTCCCTTCAGACTAAAGAAATGTCTCAAAAGCTTCCTCGAAAAAAAATACTAAAAATGGTAAACAGTATCGCCAAGCCTTCGCAGATTGCCCTTTGCACAAGTCACTATTTGCGCCCACTAAAGCTTGGTTGCTGTTGACCCTGATCACTTTTTGTGGGTCCAATGGACACTCCCAGTGTTTCAACCACAAAGTTAAAGTTCAATTATCCGTTTCCAAATACCCAGAAAGCCAATTGGGTATTTCTCAAAAAGGGCCCAACTCGTTCAGGTGGTTGGTGTCCTTTTAGTTTCCCCTCAATCCCAATAGCCATAACGAAACATACAGAACACAAAGAACCACCGGCCTCTGAGGTCATTTGCCCAAGTCGCTGGCCGCGTTTTGTTCTCGGTACTGGGAATTCATGAGCGAAAGCCACATGGCTGATTCATAGAGGGGCGTCCCCATGAAACAAGGGACCCTTCACGTTGTGTGCCGGGGGGGGGGGCGGGGGAATCTCTGCGAATCTGCATGTTTTACAAGAATTCCAAAACACTTGCCACCTCCCCTTGGGTTCCAAGCGCCATCTGATCGGATCTAAGGGTCCATCAGAGTTGGTCTTTGAAGGCGAGCTTCATGAAACCAACCATTTTGATCCATTTTGAGGCTGCTCACTTTGTTTTGTTTTGCTCAGGTTAGGAGGCTGCAGCTTGCTATGATCAAACCAAGCACACTAAATACCCCTCAAAATTGCAATTGCCCTTCGGTGCGCCAGGCGTGGGATCCTTTTCCACTTTCGAGTAAATCACATTTTTGTGGGTGGCCGGATGGCCTGGCCGGCTGGCCGGCTGGCCGGATGGCCGGATGGCCGGATGGCCGGCTGGTCGCATGGTCGGATGGCCGGCTGGCCAGTGGGCCGGGAGGCTGGATGGTCGGATGGCTGGACGGCCGGAAGGCCGGAAGCCGGATGGTCGGAAGGCTCAGGTGGGCAGAAGGCCGGCCAAACCAAACCCACCAACCTAAACCGACCCCAAACCAAACCCACCAACCCTAAAGCAGCCCCAAACCGACCCCAAGCCAAACCTAAACCAACCGTAAACCAACACCAACCCTAAACTGACCCGAAACCACGCAAAACCAACCTTACCGACTCAAAATTAAATCTGAACCAACCCTAAACCGCACTGGTCTAACCCCTGACCCAATCGATCACGAGCCTGAGGCAACGCTAGACAAAACCTTAAAAATACGATAAACCGACGCTACGCCAATAGAAACCGACCCTGACCCCCTAACCAAGCCTGAAGCACAACAAGCCAACCTTAAACCAAGCCCAAGCCGACCCGAAACGGACCCGAACCAAACAAAACCTAAACCACTCCTCAAACTAACCCAGAACAACTTCAAACACCCTAAACTCACCCTAAACCACCCCCAGCCCAAACCATCCAACTTTAAAGCAACCAACCCCAAACGAACCGTAAACCCACCCATAAATCAACCCTAAACACGAACCTAAAGTTACCCTAAACCAACTCTAAACCAATTCCACCAAACCCACCAACCAACCCTAAACGAACCGTAAACTGATCCTAAAATCAACCCGAAGCCGAACCTAAGCTTACCCTAAAGCAACCCTAAAACGACCTAAACAAAATCCAAACCACCCGAAAACAAACAAAAACACGTTAAACTCAACCGAAACAAACCCTAAACCAAACCTAAACCACTACTAAACCAACCGAGCCTAGCCCGAGACCAACTTGAAAACATCCCAAACCAACCGACCCTAAACCGACCCCTAAGCCAACTCCAAACCGAACCCACCAACCCCAAAGCAACCCTAAACCGACCCTAAACCAAACTATTCTCAAATCAATCCTAAACCAGCCTGAGCCGACCCTAAAACACACCAAGCTAACCCTCCAAACCAATCGCGAACCAAACCCAAAACACCATAAGCAAACCCCAAACCAACCCTAAGTCATCCCAAAACGGACCCGAACCAAATCAAACCTAGACCAACCGCAAACCACTCCTACACCTAAATCAATCCTAAACCGAACCAAATTTACCCCAATCAACCCTAAACCAACCTTAACCAAAGCCACCACCCACAGCAAGCCTGGGCAGCCCTACACTAACCCTAAACCAACCCTACCCCCAAAGTACCCCTAAAGCACCCGAATCCAATCCTAGACTCACCGTAGACCAACCCTAAATTTGCCGTAATGTTACCCTAAACCAACCCTAAAACACCTTGAGCCGACAAGCACAAAACACAGGCGGAAGCGGGAGGCCGGAACCAACCCTAAGTCAGGACCCGAACCAAACCAAGCCTAAACCAACCGTAAACCACTCCTACACCAACCCAAACAAACCCAAAACAACGTCACTGCACCCTAAACCCGCCAACTTTAAAGCAACCAACCCCAAACCAACCCTGAGGCACCTTAAACCGACCCAAACACAAAACAAAGGGTGGAAGTCGGAAGCCGCAAGTTGGAAGGCCGCGACATCGGCCCGAGCACCCGAGCAGCGCGCTGCACCACTTCGGGATTCCCAAGAATTGTCCGGCCGAACATGACGGACCCCTCAAGCAAGCCCCCTCGAGCTGCTTACCAAAAGCTGGCCGCGGTCTTTCCTTCCTGGTTGTTAATTAAACAGGCCGGGGAATCGTCCCAAAATATCCAAAATTAACAAATTGTCTCACTTCCCGAGCGCATGCCACCATAGAGTCGGACCTTCTTACCACTAAACTGGTCCAAACCCAAGAAGTTCGAAGTGCAACTTGGGAAGTGAGTTGTCTGTTGGTCGCGCTTGGGGAAACAAACCAATCCGGGCCATTTGGTCGAATTTCATCTGCGGGGCATCAGCTGCAAGATCTCCGCCTCCCGTCTGTCCCTGGGCAGCGGGTCCTTCACCAACTTCCTTGGCCACACGAGTGCACTCCTGGGAACGTGACCCACGAAAAAGCGACACCAAAGTGGGCCATTCCCGTGACCGTATCACTTTGAACAGGCTTGCCTTGGTATCACACACACGCACATGGTCTCAAACCCGATTTCCCACCACCATGCTCCTGCAAGTGTCTTGGTTGCTTGGCTTTGGCTGGCGAAAAGGGACAGGAACGACACCCGAAGCGCAAAAGAGCAACGCCCAAAAACAACAATGATTACGCTGCTGGTTGATGTGAACGTTTGATCATTTCCCCCCACTTCTTATTGAGAGGGGATCCTTCTTGGTGGGGACTCATTCCATGCAAATAGGGATCCCTGACAATTATTGGGTGTACTAGTCAGGGGCAAAATCTGAGTAATCCGCCGACAACAAGGCGGCGTGTTGGACATAAGAAATGCTCCTTGCCTCTTTACCTGCTACCCCTCTTTTGGGGGCTGTGCGGAACACAATTGCGTAAAAACATTGGGGTGTTCGATTCCCCCACCTCCTGGGTAACATCGCCAGCATCACCTGCATCATCCGCATCAGCGCCTGCCAAGGATGCGGATGATGCAAGTGATGCTGGGGATGTTGCCCATAAGGAATATCTGGAAATTGAGGAAAATGCATGGAAATGAATGGGAACAAAAACAGACACAAAGGGACATGAACCGAAGTGAAGGAAACTGAAGGGAAATGAAGATCCTTCGAACAAGGGAGGAAAAATGTTTTCGGGGGGGAACTGGGGAGAAGATCGGGGGGGGGGGGGGGGGGGAGGGAAAGATCTTGGGGGACAAAGGCCTCAGGGGGGAAAGAGGGGAAAGCATGTCAACCGGGAAAGGGGGGGAAAGATCTTAGCGAGGAAAGGGAGAAGATCTGGGGAAAAAATGCCTTAGGGGAGAAAGAGAAGAAATGATCTCAACAGGGAAAGGGGTGGAAAAGATCTTAGGGAGGAAAGGGAGAAGATCTGGGGAAAAAAGGCCAACAGGGAAAGGGGGGAAAGGATCTCAACAGGGAAAGGGTGGGAAAGATCTTAGGGAGGAAAGGGGGGGAAAGATCTTAGGGAGGAAAGGGAGAAGATCTGGGAGAAAAGGACTTAGGCGGGAAAGGGGGGAAAGGATCTCAACCGGAAAAGAGGGGAAGGATCTTAGGGAGGAAAAGGGAGAAAGATCTCAGGGGGGGAAAGGCCTTAGGGAGTAAAAGGGGGGAAAGGATCTCAACAGGGAAAGGGTGGGAAAGATCTTAGGGAGGAAAGGGGGGGAAAGATCTTAGGGAGGAAAGGGAGAAGATCTGGGGGGAAAAGGCCTTAGAGGGAAAGGATCTCAACCGGAAAAGAGGGGAAGGATCTTAGGGAGGTCAAGGGAGAAGATCTCAGGGGGGGAGGGGAAAGGGGGGGGAAAGGATCTCAACAGGGAAAGGTGGGAGAAGATCTTACAGGAAAAGCGAGAGGATCTCAGGGGGGGAAAAGGCCTTAAGATCTCAGGGGGGGAAAGGCCTTAGGGGGGAAAGGGGGGAAAGGATCTCAACAGGGAAAGAGAGGAACACATCTTAGGGAGGAAAAGGGAGAAGATCTTACAAGGAAAGGGGGGGAAAGATCTTAGGAAGGAATTGGGGGAAGATCGCGGGGGGAAAAGAAGGCCTTAGGGGGGAAAGGGTGGGAAGGATCTGAACAGGGAAAGGGGGGGAAAAGATCTTAGGGAGGAAAAGGGAGAAGATCTCAGGGGGGGAAAGGCCTTAGGGGGGAAAGGGTGGGAAGGATCTCAACAGGGAAAGGGGGGGAAAGATCTTAGGGAGGAAAAGGGAGAAGAACTCAGGGTGGGAAAAGGCCTTAGGGGGGACAGGGGGGAAAGGATCTCAATAAAGAAAGGTGGGAAAAGATCTTAGGGAGGAAAAGGGAGAAGATCTCAGGGGGGAAAAGGCCCTAGGGGGAAAGGGGGGGAAAGGATCTCAACAGGGAAAGGGGGGAAAAAATCTTAGGGAGGAAAAGGGGGATGATCTCAGGGGGGGAAAAGGCCTTAGGGGGGAAAGGGGAAAAGGATCGAAAAGCGAGAAGATCTCAGGGGTGGAAAAGGCCTTAGGGGGGAAAGGGGGAAAGGATCTCAACACAGACAGGGGGCAAAGGATCTTAGGGAGGAAAAGGGGGAAGATCTGAAAAGGCCTTAGGGGGGAAAGGGGGAGAAAGGATCTCAACAGGGAAAGGCGGCAAAGGATCTTCGGGAGGAATAGGGAGAAGATCTCAGCGGGGGGACAGGCCTTAGGGGGGAAAGGGGGGAAAGGATCTCAACAGGGAAAGGGGGGGAAAGATCTCAGGGAGGAAAGGGAAAAGATCTCAGGGGGGGAAAAGGCCTTGGGGTCTCAGGGGGGAAAAGGCCTTAGGGGGAAAGGGGGGAAAGGATCTCAACAGAGAGAGGGGGGAAAACATCTTAGGGAGGAAAAGGGGAAAAATCTCAGAGGGAGAAAGGGCCTTAGGGGGGAAAGGGGGAATGGATCTCAACAGGGAAAGGGGGGCAAAAATCTTAGAGGGGAAGGGGGGCAAGGGGACAATTCCAAAGGGACGCAAATAAGAAAAATGTCGGCGAGGCGTTAAAATTTTATTAGAGACAAATATACGAATCAGAATCGGAACATGTGATGAGTGATGTCCCATACTCCAGGCCAAGCTTCATCGACACGTCACCGCCGTAGGGGCTGCAGGTCACGTTGCACTGGTACACTTCACCGAAGGACCCCGAGCCGATCCGCCTGAAACTTGGGGGACGGGTGGTTTCCTTTTTGGCTACCACAGCCAAAGGGGCATCCTCAAAAGTAAATGCCACACCCGTTTCTTTTGAGCAATGTTTCTGCAAATGTTGCTCCGACATCCGAGTCTCAGATCTCAGGGGTGGGTTGGGGTTTTTTCTGATACACTACCGTGAGTGCCACATTGGACATCGAAGCCCTATGCGGATCGCCGGTAAGGGAATCACAGTGAAACTCATGCACAAAAAGGTCCGCTCGGAAGCTTGGGGCAAGTGTGGCTTTGCACGAGAATGGTGGTGGTTGGTTCAAACATAGACAAGCACAATTGATCTACAGACATGGCGCACATATGCTCAAATTCCGAAATCACAAAGACATGAGCTCGCGCTAGTTTGCCCAGCGACTGGAACCAAGCCCGGCCTCACCACTTGCAAGCGACCCCGCCATGCTGACGGCAACACCACCTCGCCGACCTCCTCCTCCTGAGGCTGGGCGGGCCAACTGGCCACACGGAGCCAGGAATGTTTCTAGGGCACACTTCTCCATTCTTTCCAGGGATCCATCCTTCTTTCCCAGAAAGCCATCAGAACCCCAAGGGAAACAGCTGGGTTTAAAAAGACGATGGTTGAAAAGAATGGGGAATGAACCCCGTCTCAGCTTTCAAATCGAACATGGCTCGTTAAACAAGATCCCCCCAACCAAAAAGAACAAACATGTGGCAAGTTGACCAACACCCCGCAGAAACTTGCAAGTGGTACCCTGTAGCAACATTATCAAGCGTCCGATCAGGATTCCAAATATAAGTTCCAGTTGAAGTTCGCGGCGTGAAAGTCCCTCAAACCCAAAACTTGTCAAGATGCAATGGCGGCAACGAAACAAGACACTAACCTATTCCCCTCTCACAAGTAAACAATTGCAAAGCCAAACGCCCACCGGGACCTTTTAAGGGAATCGACCCGACCCGGGGAGCGCGCTTGAGCCAAATCATGCAAGGTCTGCAGCTCACGGAAGGAATGCTCTACTGAAGAGAACCCCTATGTCCTATCGATTCCCGTTGATGCAAGTAACCGCAAAGTTATCATGATGTAATGCCCACACGAAGTGTAATGCCATCCCTGTGGGTATGCATTTATTTGAGAAAGCGCGGGTATTTCCACTCCCCCCTCTTTGCGCTTACGGCATTTCTGTGCTTAAGAATCTTCAAGACGTTTTCTTCTTCTTGGCTTTCTTCTTCCTCTTCGGATTAGCAGGTTCAACACAAGCGGGTGGCTCCTCTGCTGGTGCGCCAACAGGGTCTCTCACACTTCTTGAGTCACTTACTTTAGTTTGTACCTGCGGTGCCGAATCCATTTTGAATCCAGTCATATTGGCTTCTACTGAATTTGGTACTATTGTGGAGATACCGAGGAGGTGGATCGCGTTGGCCCACTTGTGTGCCTCAACACCTTTTGTAAAGATGTCTGCACGCTGATCCTCGGTCTTCACGTGCTGGAGAGTCACGTCTGGCTGATCGACTATTTCTTTCAAAGATGAGAGGTTAACTTTGTGTGTGCGAGTGATATGCCGCAACTTGTGGCTAAACCCTGAACGCACCACTTTCTCAGTTGCCTCATTATCTTCATAGATGATCAAGTCAACATCTCTTCCTAGCATGTGACCCCACAGTGTCATCATCGGCAATGCCTCGGTGAATAGCCCGTAGGCCATGGCGATCACTTCGGCTTCAGTCGTGCTCCGGCTGGTTGCAGTCTGCTTCTTAATTAGAGATCCAGCTCAGTGGCCACGAAGTCCCATTGGATCCGGCTACCCTTATAGCCAACCCCCATTGGTGCTTAGTGCTGAATCGCCGTCCCCAGTTCCAACCACACATTTGATGACACGTCGGTGATCTGCCCCACCAGAGTGAAGTCTACAGAGTGATGTGCGTAGCACAGGAGTCGGTGTAACATCCTGTCGCAGGCCCTACACCACTTGCTCACGTGTGACGCTAAAAAGGTTATGGCTTTAAGCATGTCTGGTCTACCAAGCCTTGCCCCCCATAGCAATTTCATGAGAATTGCACACGCGTGCGTTTGTAGCTGTCTTTCTTGTTCCCATTCGTCTGGAAGGACGGACCCTTTTGGCAGAAAAGGGGTTGCTGCACCTTTGAGTCTTTGCTGCTTAGTGATACCTAAGTACATGTCTACGGCGGAACGAATGATCGAATGTACTCTCGTATATTGAAAGCTACCCCAAGTCCATCAGGAGTCTCAACGATCTCATGGTGTCTCCCCAAAAACCTACCCAGTCCTCCTATGTCTTCTATTTCAATCAACTTACCTAGTTCTTGCCAGAACATTTCGTGTGATTCACCCCTGCCAGATAACAAGAGGTCATCCACGTAAACTGTCAAGGCCAGGTCTCGCTGCTTGAAGAAGAATGTTGAAGGGTGACCCTCAACAGTCTTTCCCCCCAACTTGCGTACTGCCTCTTCTAGATGGTTCTGCCAGTGCGCGCCTGATTCTGGATGACCATATAGCGACTTAATGAGTCTTACGAGGGGTCGCCTATAGCGACCAACCCATGAAGCCGGCCATGTCTCCCTCGGGAGTCGCACCCAGGTTTCGCACAGACTGCGGAGGTCCGCCTGCACGTAGGCTTTTACTGCATCGGCTGAGGTCACGCGGTTGCCTGGGCCGTGGAAATCATCGACGGAGATGCCGAGAGGCTCTGATACACTGCCAGTGCCCCGTCTTGGTCTCTGGCATTATCACCCCTAAACACTCCACGTCCTTTCAATTGAACCATGTCTGGACCCCTTCCAACGAACCGTCTAGAACATATGGACATCACATCACCTATGTGTATCTTATCCTCTTTTGCACGGGCTTCTGCCAGGACCTCTGGTTCTTCCCGCACAGAGTCTAGATCCCAGGTTCCTTTGTCTGTGAGTCCATTGAACTCCTTCTGAACTGCTGCGATGGCCTTTGCGTCTCTGATCCATTCCTTTCGGTCAAGCAGTTCTGTCATTAGGGCTGGCTGCAACTCTCCCATTAGCACCTCAAGTGCTGTGAGTGCATGCCATTCGTGGTCATCTGTCATGGCAGCTGCTGCAGGTCTACTGGAAGCTGCTGACGGATCGCTTGGCACGTAACCCGGTTCACGTGGGTCGTCCGGGACGGCCTTGCGTGGAGGGAACCCTCTCAGGTCTTCACGTTCTGTGAGGTCCCCGTGTCCTACGATCACTGATGACTGCCCCTGTGGCACAGGAGTGGTTGGTGAATGCAACGCAGGCACGGGCAACGTTGTGGGCGTATTCCCCCCTGGTCCTGCACGGGCGGTTGAGGATGATATCGCGCCGGATGGCTGCGCCTCTTCCGTCTTGCTGACGTCTTTGGGATAGAGTCCATCGCATTTGTCCCTGCACGTCTGCGAGTGATTGTATGTACCAGGCGAACAGCCAGAACAACCCTTAGTGAAACCGTGTTTCAGAAGGCGACTGAACGTGATGTACGCATGTTTCGGTTTTGTCTTACTTGGTTCGGCATAGGGCAGTGCGTCAATTGTCACTTCGTATGGTAGTACGCCCTTCTCCAAAGATCGTTCAAACGCGGCCCTCCTAAGCTCATGCATTGGGTCGGTCACATCTTTGAGTGCGATTTTGGCGGCATTCTGCAAAGGGTATTCTATGTGTACAAGCGGAGGAAAATATACCTCTTTCTGATGCACATCTCGAGGAACCCAGTATTTATGCGACAATTGTCTGAGGGATTCATAGTCTAGAATCAGAACAGTGTCCTTATACCTTAGTCCTGGTGCTAGCTTCCAGCCGGCAAAGATGCCAGGTCTGGTGGTTGGTGCAGCCATGCCATCTGAGCTTCGATGGTAGTAGTAAACCAGGGCTCCCAAAAAATATATTGTTCCAAGAAACGGATGTCCTGTTGCAACTTCCCATTTGGTCTTGCCTTTCTTCTGGTCTTCTACTGGTGTGCCTTTTTCATGATCATGCAAGGGTGCTGGTTCCAAAGGGATCTCACCTTCGAGGTGTATGAGACTGCCACAGGCCACAACTTCCTCCAGAAACCTGCCTGCAGATGCGATGGCCGGGATGCTTCTTTCAGAGACCGGATGTCTCGTTCACATGAGGCGTTGTGCGGCCATGAGCGGGCGAGTGCGGGGCCAACGTTCCAGCACATCCGCTGCGCGGCATTTGTGAGCTCGTCAGCTGTGTCTGATTTGAAGATCGTGTCCGTCCTGCCGTTCAGTGCCGCGCCTGCAAAATGCTTCATGGACAAATAGTTTGCTTCTTCGCCTTTGTCCGTCTGTGGGTATGCGATGGATAGCCCTGAGAAATGGTCTCTTAGCAACAACGCCGTTTGTTCACCATCCATTCCAGCATGCTCTGCGGCCACTATCACATTGTCCCCTTGAATGAGTTTCCCAAACGCATCGGGCTGAGTGTACTCTACCGGTTCATCGGGGTCCACAGGTCTTTTAGAATGTTTGTATTTGCCTAGCATCCTACCCCTGAGGCAATGCTCACACTGATTGTTCTTCTTTGAGTGCAATGCCTGATGCTCGAGGGTTGCGGCTTCTCGCTTCAACTTTCTTGCTACACCTTCGGGCATCACCTCCTCACGTTCGGAATCTGCATCTGAGTCCGCTGCGGCAACGAGGGCTTTTGGGAGACGCTTGGCCGTGAATGGGTCTGGTTCCCGCTCACGATGTTCGCACTGATGGGTCACTGCGGTGCATGGCATTGTTATCACTTGCCCATGCACTCTGTTCGGATACCAAGCACTGCAAGCCATTTCACACATTTCTGGAGGGTATCTCGCTGTCTTAGCTGCGCTGGCACCTGCTATGACGGCATGCTTGAAACCCTTCTCATGCTTGCATCGGCATTGTGCGAGTGATGCTGCTAGCCTCGGGCACGTGGTAACAACCCTCCAACGTTTCAGATGCGGATTGCCGGCGGAATCCTTGCTTCCTACGGCACAACCGTCGAAATCGATGGTGTACATGTGCAACTCTATGATGAGCTTCTGCAATTCGGATAGTTGCCAACCCGTTGCGTCCCTTGGCCGCTCGAATGCAATACGGCCACCCTTACCATGGGTGGCACGTGCCAACTTGCAGAAGTTCCTCAACAGCTTTCTGGACACACGTCGTGCTGCCTGAAGCTTCTTGAGATACGGTTTCCCATAGAGGCTCTTACACAAGTGCTGATATTGGGACCATGGTGCACACGGGATGCTCCCCCAAAGGTCAATTGTGCTTTCTCCCTCTATTTCTGCAAGCATGGATTCCATGTTCTTATCGTCCAAGCCATTATTATGATTCATTGTGCTACGTGTCACCTTGATGCCATAGGCTTCTGCTGCCCTACCCAACGGAGAATCACTTGTCGTGCAAAACTCCATCAGCTCGCTCTGTGTCACCGGAATGTGCGGGGCGGCAACATCTTCGCTGAGGCTCTCTCTCAAGGCTCGCAACTCTTGTT